GCTCTTGTGGGGGGATGAGGGGTGTTTCATGGCGGGGGGGTTCTCTGGAATCCCAGCAGACACAGCATTACTTAATCCTAACATCAGGGGTGCATCTTGGGGCCTGAGGCACCTGAAGTCCATTTCCCAACTGTGTCACATGCCTTTTGTAAGCATTTTGGGACAGGTTTTCTCTGTGGTCTCTCTGGGTGTTGGCTCCTTTACAGGGGATCCAAAATCCTGTGGTAGTGCAAAGCAGTAATAGCCATGATGATAGTTCCTGGCGTTGTTATTGCTTAGTCCAGCTGAGCTGGGAGACATTGCGGAATTGGTAAAAACAGTAATTATCCACCACCCTTCTTCTTTTTTTACCAAGTATTGTGAACAGCCTGGGATGTGCTGGGGCAGCTTGGAGGTGATAACTCCTTGTGCGGGATGAGGTGGGGATGGTGCCCGCCTGGCCGAAGGCAGCCCCGTCTCCCCACATCCCACCCCAGGTACATCCCCGCTGCCTCTCTCTCTTTTCCCTGGGGCTATAGCCAGACCTATTCCCAGCCTGTGTTTCCAAGACACTGATTGCGATGGAAATGATGCTGAGTGTATTTGCTGGGAGAAGCTGGTCCGAAGGGCACTGTCTCTCTACAGGGTGCTGGTGGATAAATACCTTCCCCGCTACACAGCTCAGCTTCCCTATCGGAAAGTTCAGATAAGGATCTGCAAGGTGCCTCCAGATCTGCTTTGGGATAGGAGCTGGGTGTTGTTATATGGTTACGCTGCATAAAGATGCCAATATCCACAGCTAATTACTGTAGGGCAAAGCTAATGACTGCAGAGCAGAGAGAACAAACCATCCTGGGCTGAGGAACCCCTTGTCCGGGATAATAAGCCCCATATTCAGAGAGTCCAAAGGAACCTGCCAGCTGTCTGGGTGTTTCAAACCAGGTACAGACTGTTGTGAGGGACAGGACATGACAGGGAAGTTCCAGGGAGAATGGTTGGATTTTCTTTTTCAGTCACTGGCTGGCTGATAAAATATTAAGGTGCAAACTACACAGCTTGCAAGGCCTTGCTGTGCAGAAAGCTCAAGGGAGACTGGCTGATAGCCCTGCTGTACCGTTAAGAGAATCACTAATAAATGAGAAACACTGCAAATATGAGAGAATCATGACTTTACCTTACGCTGGGGAAACACTGTGTGTAAACTGGAGTGCCAGCCCCACGCCTCTCTCTCTGCTTGACTACTAATCCTGCACGCTCTCGGAAAGACAGTGTTCAGGGCAAACCCAGGCACAGCTCTTTCTGGAAGTGCCTCCTTCTCCCTGCTGCCTTTTGGGAGCCTCTAGACAACAAGTCCCGTTTCAGGCGCTTCTGCCAAGTGCCTGGAGGGAGGCTGGTGGCATCCAAACTCTTTGGGCACCTCCGCCTTGCCCCAAAATATGGAAAGCTGCCTGGCCATCATGTGTCCCATGGACAAGGGTTGCAGAGCCCAGGCGGGAGACACCAGCACTGGCTTTACCCCAGAGGAGGACCACTTTTTCCAGCTGCACCTCGGATACTCCAGCCACGCTCAGGTTCTCCTTCTGCAGAGGTATTTGCTCCCACTCCCCCCTTTCTCGGGTTCCCCCCAGGACCCTTCAAGGCTGGACTCCAGCCCCCGGGGGACCTGGCCGGGCTACCGGGGCCCCTCTCCCCGTATCACCGGGGGGATGCTTCCCTCTGCCGGCAGCGGAGCAGCTCTGCAGCGGGGAGAACCGGCGGGGCACGGCCCGGCCGGGAAGCAGAGGGAGAGGAGGTCCCCGGGGAGCCAGCACATCAGGCCCTGCAAGTTTTAGATCCCCGATTTCCACCAGTGAAGCAAACAAAGAAAAATCATGGGAATTTCCTCTAAAGGCTACCGAGGACTGTGGTAACCTTAATTTGCATCCTCCTTGGGAGGTTGTTGGGGTGCACGTGGGCACTGGTTTTTTTGCTCTCCCAGTCGATGCCTTATTGGCTTGTAAATCAAATTTAATTAATTGCCTGATCACATCTTCCAGCTACAGGAGATCACCGGACATCCCCAAACCACCCTGAAGGTCTCTGGAGCAAGTCGCCTTGGTGGAACAGCTCAGCCATGAAGGGACCAGTAGATGATGAGCTCCTGGCTCCCACAGGAGAAGCTGTTGCAGCTGGTTTGATGTACCCATCGTTCTCCTGCAGCCAGATGCCAGTATGTCCCAGCAGGATCCCAGCAGGATCTACAGCCACCAGGAGATCTGAGGGAATCTTGTCCCTGTTTTGAGGACAGGAAAGTACAGGGTGGTGAGAAGGTCCTTGCGGTGCAGACATCAGTAACGGGCCGTTTATACAGGATTCACTCTCAGGAGGCTCTGGGCTAGGAACGAAGTAGTTAAAGCAGCGCAAAACGCAAACAGATAATATTGTGTTGTATAATAGACAGATAATACGTTATTCCGAGCATCTGTGCTCCAGCTTGCGTGAAAAGCTCCAGACCTGAATTTCAATCCATGTCAGCATTTACAGTCCAGCCTTCCAGTTGCTGTCACTTGCACAGTAAATTACCAGCTTCACGTTAATCTGCCCAAACACAGAAGATCTAGATCTGTTTAAATGCATCTACCAGACATCAAATACCAGACGCAGCTTTAAAATCAATTCGGTTAAATCAGAGCAGGGTTTTGTATTTTAAGACAAACATAAAGCTCAGCTCCCGAGGGAGTGCAGCCCACGGGAGGGGAGATAAAGCCACCCTGGGACGGGCGGGGGGGTGGGGGGGGAGCATTGTTTTCTACAAAGAACAGGAAACGAGCCTCAAAGAGTACATGAAAGAGACCTTAAAACAAATGCAGATCAGCAAGGGGGGACCTCTCCGCTCATCTCCCAGCTGCTCTGCCCGGGGGCAGCCTGCTGAAGCTGCTGCTGTAGCTGGCGAGGGGTGCGTGGGTGGGTGGTGGGTGTCTCCTAGCAGGGGACACCCGGGGACCCCTGGGGTGCCGGGACCTGCTTTTCCCTCCTGAGTAGGTCTCGGTGAAGCCCAAAAGGGCCAGACGAGCCTGGGTTTATCCTGCAAAGGAAGGACCCGCTTACGGTTGGATCTTAAAGGTCTTTTCTAACCTAAATGATTCTATAATTCTATGACCCGCCTTGCTGCTTCACCCCTGGGGATGTGATTAACCCAGACAGGGCAGTAAGAGGATGCTCTGGGTCTTGAAGCCAGGCCCGTCCCAGACGTGGGCTGCTCTCCCTGCTCCTTCAGTGCCCCCACCCCACATTTTGTCCTCCGCAGCGTCTGCCCACCTCCACGCAGCCTCAGTGCTGGGAGTTTCAGATCCTTAGGGGCACATGGAGGAAAGGAGTGACTGGAGCAGTGCCCCGCGGACTGCTCGGTCCATGGCGGAGCACCAGGAGCTCTCTGGCGTGCAGCTGGGCTGGAGAAACTGAGCCAGGGTCAGCGAGGGAGCCGGGGAGATCACAGAGATGCAAAAAACGCACCAACGTTAAAGGTGGTTTTTCTTCATGGAGATGTCCCTTATCTGCTCTTAAAAAAACCCCTGGTTTGGCCCCTTTGGAGCGTAAACCGCTCTGCTGAATGTCGCCATTTCATTTTGCTACTCTAATAAAATAAGGTTCATGTTAGAGCCAACTGGCAAAAATTAACTGCAATGTACCAGAAAGCCATTTCCTCCCATACAAGGCAAGCCGGTGGCCTGCTGCCAAAGGGGACAATGAGGGACTATGAGGCTGGTCCTGCGCGCCCTCGTGTTCCTGTTTACTTGGAGGCTTGGTCGTTGATCAGAGAGATTTCTCTGGGTATTTTTTAAGGTAATTTTTAATGAAGTCATTGCCAGCAGTGCCCACATCCTGCAGGAATCCTCCTCCTCCTCCTGCACGGGGTTCCTGGGAATGGTGGCACCATGTCACGGTGGGGGACCTTCCCGAGCCCCGTGCAGCAAGTCCCACCAGCTCCATTGCACCCTTTAAGCTTGACCGGGCCCAAAAGCACCGGTTGGGCCAGGCGATCCCGCAGCCATGAACCTCCCGGGCTGCCGGTGCCCTGCTGAGCCTCGCCTCGCCTGTCCCATGATGGCAGGATTCCCGGCTCACTATGTTTGCAGCCGGAGCGCAGCCAGGGTGAGCCACCGGCCTCTGCGTGCTGCCCATCAGATGAGAGAAAGGAAAACCATCATCGTAACCCTCGTAGTAACGAGGGAGTTCCCGCTGTTATCTCGTGGTTCCTTTAGCAGAAAGCCCGACCAACACCCCGGCTTTATCAGCCTCCCCGGCTGCAGCACCGCTGGCAGGCGTAGCCTCAGCAGCGGCTGAAAGAGGAGGCTTGGCATGGGGATGGGAACGTGGCGCCTGGGGATGCAAAAGTGGTTCTGAGGATGGGAATGTCGTTCTGTGGATGGGAATGTCGTTCTGTGGATGGGAATGTGGTGCTGGGGATGGGGACGTGGTGCCTGGGAAAGGGAGTGTGGTGCTGAGAATGGGAATGTGGTGCTGGAGATGGGAACGTGGCATGCTGGGGATGGGAGAATGGTGCCTGGGGATGGGAACATGGTGCCTGGGGATAGGAATGTGGTGCCTGGGGATGGGAACGTGGTGCCTGGGAAAGGGAGTGAGGTGCTGAGAACGGGAATGTGGTGCTGGGGATGGGAATGTGGTGCTGGGGACGGGAAGATGGTGCCGGGGATGGGAAGATGGTTCCGGGGATAGGAACTTGGTGCTGGGGACGGGAACACGGTGCCTGGCGATGGGCACGTGGTGCTGAGGATGGTCACATGGTGCCGGCGATGGGCACATGGCACCCGGCCACGTGAACGTGGCACCGGGGCCGGGGGTCTCCGTAGGCGGGACCCCCCCAATCCCGCTCGCTGAGCGCGGCCTGGCCCTCCTCAGGGCGGCGGGTCGGCTCGGGGCA